CGTAGTCGTGTGTTTATTAGTCATGTTGAATCAATGAAAGCAGTTGAATCTTCTGTTTATCCAGCTACCGCTATAGGCATTTTCTGGGTTTCTTCTGCGAGGCGTATTTGGAGTTTCAGCGCGAGAGCGCCCTCGCGCCTTTGGATGGAGATTTACTGCTGATCACAGAACCATGCTTCACTGAAAGATACGCATGACAATCGCAGCTTCTGTCGAATCGCGATCTCGATTCCATTTCGATTTATCGTGCAGCCCTAAGTGACTCTTTCAGAAATTTTTCTATACTCCTCTGATTATATAATGGTAAATATTACAATAATATCGCACAACAACAGTGATCAGCAATAATGATAAGCCTAATACTCACAATAAAAATAATAACGTCATATAGATCCTAACACAGTCTCGGAGGTAAGAAGTGGATTATCCTTCACCTGAAATGTTTGTCTTTTCATCCTGAAATGCGAGGCAAATGTTGGATCACAATAATTAGGAACCACAGTTTCCACAAATCCCATCCCATTTGATTGGGATGTTCTCTTTTATTCTGGACAGCAAGGGCAATGACTGTACCATCGAGCGTATTTTGCAGTATTAAACACGTATTTATACCGATTTCATCAGGCTCAGAAAATTCTTCAAAAAGAACACAAAGAATGGCCTTCTCAGCTGCCATAGCTGCAACTCTTGCGTCATCAGAACAGTGTGTTCAACGCACCACCGTTTCCGTTAAAAAACGTTTTGCACCGTTTTTGTCGGGGCTGAACGCAACCCTGTACTAAAACACTCCGTTATGATGATTTATGTTGCAAACTAGTATTTTTTTATTATTATTATAGCCTATTAGTTTAATTTGTTATCATAATCTGGCTTGTAGTAGTTTTATTTTAGTAAATAGTTTTGCCGTTTACTGCGCAAATGTGTTTTGCGGCTAATGAATCGGAAGTCTCACACATTCAAAGAAAATGTACTTTCGCGTTGCAAAATAAGTTGGATAAAACACTCAATAGCCTACACCTTAACAACCACATAGCAATGCCCTAGCAACGATCCACCCAGGTAACATGTTTATATAATATTTAAAACGTTGTGGGAACATTGTTTTGAAATTGTTTTTAAAACGTTGAAATTGTCGAGATTATAACGTTATTTAAAGGTTACAAAAATGTTTCTTGCAACATTCTACTAACTTTATTTTCACCGAAAATATTATGTCATTTGAATGTTTATGTTTTAATATTCCAAGAATGTTTTCTTGTCATGATTATAACGTTCTTCAAGTACAAATAACATCATAAGGACGCTTTGAGAATGTTGTTCTAAGAACGTTTTCTCTCAACATTATGAGAACGTACTGTATATCAATTATTAATAAAATTATAAGGCATTCCATAAACATTAACAACATTTTGTCCTAACATTATATAACCTTTAAAAAACGTTAGTGAAAGTTGTAAGGACGTTCCCTGTTAGCTGCAAACATATAGCATTGTGGAAGTACTGTCATTCTGATTGGAAGTTTTCTTCAGAAAATGTGAAAAATGAAGTAGCCTATTATTGCAAGATATATATGGGGTGCTGTGTGTACATTAATGAGGAAAAAAAATTAACTTAAATGATTTTAGCAAATGGCTGCAATATAACAAAGAGTGAAAAATTTAAGGGGGTCTGAATACTTTCCGTACCCACTGTAGATGATAGATACAGACAGACATAGATAGACAGATAAGATAGAGATGATATATAGACAGACAAACAGATAAGATAGACACACATAGATATAGATAGATAGATAGACATAGATAGAGATGATAGACAGACAGAGAGATAGATACAGACAGATTAGAGATGATACACAGACAAACAGATAAGAGAGAGACAGACATAGATATATAGATAGACAGACATAGATAGAGATGATAGACAGACATAGATGATAGATACAGACAGACATAGATAGACAGATAAGATAGAGATGATATATAGACAGACAAACAGGTAAGATAGAGATGATAGATAGATAGACACACAGATATAGATAGACAGACTAGATAGATATATATATAGATAGATAGATAGACAGACAGACATAGATATATAGACATAGATAGAGAGATGATAGACAGACAGATATAGATACAGATAAGATAGAGATGATATACAGACAAACAGATAAGATAGAGATAGATAGACACAGACATGATAGATAGACAGACAGATAAGATAGATAGATAAATAGACAGACATGATAGATAGATAGACAGATAAGATAGAGATGATAGATAAATAGATAGATAGACAGATAAGATAGAGATGATAGATAAATAGATAGACAGATAAGATAGAGATGATAGATCTATAGACAGACAGACAGAGATAAGATAGAGATGATAGACAGACAGACAGACATGAAAGATAGACACAGACAGACATGATAGATAGATAGACAGACAAGATAGATAGACAGACATAGATATATAGACAGACAGATAAGATAGATAGAGATGATAGATAAATAGATACAGACAGATAAGACAGACAAGATAGAGATGATAGACAGACAGACAGACAGACATGATAGATAGACAGACAAGATAGACAGACAGACAGACAAGATAGACATGATAGATAGACAGACATGATAGATAAGACAGACATGATAGACAGACAAGATAGACACGATAGACAGACAGACAGATAAGATAGATAGATAAATAGACAGACATGATAGATAGATAGATAGACAGATAAGATAGAGATGATAGATCTATAGACAGACAGACAGAGATAAGATAGAGATGATAGACAGACAGACAGACATGAAAGATAGACACAGACAGACATGATAGATAGATAGACAGACAAGATAGATAGACAGACATAGATATATAGACAGACAGATAAGATAGATAGAGATGATAGATAAATAGATACAGACAGATAAGACAGACAAGATAGAGATGATAGACAGACAGACAGACAGACAGACATAGCTAGATAGATAGATAGATAGATAGATAAGATAGAGATGATAGACAGACAGACATAGATAGATAGATAGATAGATAAGATAGAGATGATAGATAGACAGACAGACAGACATGAAAGATAGACAGACAAGATAGATAGACAGACATAGATATATAGACAGACATAAGATAGATAGAGATGATAGATAAATAGATACAGACAGATAAGACAGACAAGATAGAGATGATAGACAGACAGACAGACAGACATAGATAGATAGATAGATAGATAAGATAGAGATGATAGATCGATTCAAAAAAGCAAAGGCATAATAACATTTTTTTTATTTTCTCCATATTCAATTTTAACATACACACTGATCGCATTATGTATGGAAATAAATTAATCAAATATTTCTACATTACATACAAACTCTAACCTTCGAGGCTGTGTTGTAAGGCTTAAAATGTTATATGTGTAACAGAGAAAAATAGCATAAAACCAATCATCTGTGTATATGAATGATTATTTATTGTGTTAAAACAGATCAGATGTTGCCATACAGATTCGTGGATCTCCTCCAAAACATGACCGTGACCGCTCTGCACATTCATCACTTGGCCATCTTCTTCTCCATGCTGAGGAACACAATGAGAAGCAGATCGTGTGTTAATACGCGAGCACACTCCAGTCTAACAGAACCAGACTAGCCTGAACGCATCTAGAAATGGGCTAGCTGCATATTTACGGTAAACGTGAGATACTATTAGAAATCAGAAGTGTGAAGGTCATACTTGTATTTGATGAGTCTGCTGCCCTGAACGAGCTGAGCCGCTTCATTGGTGAAGTGGCAGGCGAACAGAAGCCAGTTTCTGGGCTGGACCTTATACGCGAAGCGCATGAACAGCAGCGAGTAGCAGGTGAGAGCTGTTAAAACAAGAGTGAAAACACCTCCATTGACCTTTGACCTCACAGTGTCCGTCTGTTGCACAAGCTGTTGTTTCGTCACGTACCGAAGGTCATTCTGCCGCTGATGATCTCTGGACTCTTCTTCATGTCGCTGATGGCGGCGATGGGCAGGCCCCAGTTTGCCACCGGACCCCAGAAATGCTGGAATAACATTACAAACCACTGCTATAACCGCCGGGACACAGGCACCATTAGATCTCATTTCACTCGAGAGGAACTTACTGTGCTGAGGTGGAGATCCCGCGGGAAGAGCAGATCCATCATGAGAGGAGACCAGCACAGATGATAGTTACAACAAGCACTTTCTTAATAACACATGCTAGGCTATATCAGATCGTCAATATACGATATCAAGTGTCTGCGTGTTCAAAATGAAAAAAGTCACTGTAACATTTCTACTCAATGTATAATGATTTACTAAATAAGACACTCTTAAGCGTTTTATTGTGTCCTAACACGAGGAGTCGATAAAGACAGGCACTGCTGCCGTTAAACCAATAAAATGAAAATATGGCAACTATGGGAAGATGGTTTTATTTCTCTGAGACTTTGACTCGCGTGACATAACGACAATGAGCTGCGCTGTTTTAATTAAAGCGATTCCGCTGTCATCGTGAGGAAATAAAGCAAAATGCAGCTTCATGGATTGTAAAATGTGAAATGTTTATGAGCGCCACAGCTCGAGGGTAAAACAGCGGTACTGCAGCTCGTGTCCTTCAGCCGTTTCTGCGGTTATTATGACTGACTGACACACACACACACACACACACACACACAGTCTGGTCAGCTATCCTTGTGGGGACTCTCCATAGGCGTAATGGTTTTTCTACTGTACAGACCATATATTCTATTGCCCTACACCAACCCTACCCCTAAACCTACCCCTCACAGGAAACTTTCTGCATTTTTAGATTTTCAAAAAACTTCATTCTGTATGATTTATAAGCTTTTGTACCCGTGAGGACCACAATTTAGGTCCCCACCGTGACACGAGTCCCCATGAGTCTGTGTGTATTCAGGTTTAAGTCCCCACCAGGATATATAAACCAGTACACACACACACACGGTTTGACTCGTCCGTGAGAAACACAGGGAAACACCGACCTCATGAGATAATCTCTGAACTCTTTACTGCGGAGATGATCCACGGCCTTACGCGCCAGAGTTCCGGCCATTGTCAGTCAGACGACGGTACAATCACGACGTGAACTCGGTCCGTGTGGAGCACACACTGTAAACTCTGTAAACACGGCTCGCTGTGCTGCAGCTACGCGACGTCAAGCAGAGGACACAGAGAGAGACGCAGGCGCGCTGCCGGGATGACGTCATTTCCTGCGTAAATATTCACTCCTGTCAGATTAAAAGTCCTCAAGTTACTGAAAAGAAAGCATTATTATTATTATTATATTTTAAATCCAGTTCATCAGGTTTGCGTCAGATGTTATTATTGTCACCCTGAAACTGCTTTACACTTATTTTGTCAACGCACTCATTCCTTTAGTACCACATACATTGTAATAATACATATATAAATAATGCATTGAAAATATTGTTGATCCCAACTCTGTGTTTTTATTCTGTCTCGTTTTATTTTTGTTTCATAGTTATATACATACAATAATAATAACACACAAAATGTTGTTAACCGAAAGATTGAAACCGAAAAAAAAACTTCTGGAAACTCTGCATTGTCATTGGCTGTCGTGAAGCACGTGGTCAGGTCGCGCCGTGTGACGTGAAAAGGTGTTTGTACTTGACTCGGTTAAACTGTGTAGAGTGAGGTTGGGGCACTGTGGGTTAAATTACTTTTTGTATATTGTAGGAAAGCATATCTCTGGATTATGTGAATGTGGGAATATGGAAACAGTAGGGCATGTTTTCTTGGAATGTAGGAAGTATAATGCAGAAAGAAAAGCACTTTTTGATAAATTGGCAGAACTTGGAGTTAAAGTGTTTTCTGTTACTTCTTTGTTTGGACACAGTGATAAGCATAAACTGATCAAACAGTTCTTGCATAATACAGGACTGTATATAAGAATTTAGTTCAAACTTTGACCTGTGGAGGGCAGTAATACGCCCAGTAGCGTCTACACTGCCGATCTGTAAATGAGAAAACAAATACTTCACTGCATTTTATGGAATGGAAAAAGAAACTAATTTCATGTTAAAAAAATAATTGTGTGGAAACCATTATACAGCGACAGGATTCCTTGATGAATGGAAAGTTCAGAAGAACAGCATTTATTTGAAATAGAAATCTTTTTTTTACATTATAAATGTCTTTACTGTCATTTTTATTCAATTAATGCATCCTTGAAGAACAAAAGTATACATTTCTTAAACAAACAAACAAAAAAAATCATAGAAATCCCAAACTTTTGAATGATAATGTCCTGTATCAAACGCCAGAACCAAGTTAAGAAATGTCTTTTTTTAGCTTTATTATGTCATATTTGTATACAGCAGATTCTACACGGACGTTAACATCACACTCTCGTCTCCTATATTGTCTTAACAAGGATTGAATAGTGATTAATGCTCAAAATTCAGGAAAACTTTACTTTATTAATGGCATTAACCCCGTTCAACATTCTGCATGCTGTCTGGTTGTAAACTATGATACAATCATACACTGCTGCAAAAACATGTTGCTGAAATTTATTTTTTTCCTGTTTCCAATGTAAAATAGTTAAACATTTTTACAAACAAATGTAAATCTACAAATTAAGATTATCACAAGGTTTAAGCTCCCATTTGCACAGTGAAACCAAAGATCCCCGAACACGATGACTATCATTTTCCTGGATTTTGAGTGTGAATCACTATTGAATTCATATTTTTAAAAACAAAATGTCACTGTCTCACATAACATCAAACATTCACACCAACACACGTTTTACCAACATCTCATCACAAGCTAATCAAGGCCACAATCCAATCTTTATTCCACTTTATTTTTTATAATAAGAGGCCCTTTGTATTTATTTATTTATTTATTTATGTAGTCATTTAGCAGATGCTTGGCTTTACACATACACAACAAAAAGAAAACAAGTAGATGGAGAAAGCTAGTGTTAGAGGCCTTTTTTTAAAGAAAACAAGCAGTTGGAAAACAAATAGAGAGTGCTAGAGTTAGAGGGTCAAATAAAGATGCAAGGGATGTGTTTTTAGCCGATTCTTGAGTTGGGCAGGTCATTCCAGCAGGAGGGAACAGTTTATATATATATAAAAAAAAGCCTAATTAAGAATATATATACAGGTGCATCTCAATAAATTAGAATGTCGTGGAAAAGTTCATTTATTTCAGTAATTCAACTCAAATTGTGAAACTCGTGTATTAATTGAAGTTGACATTTTATGTGTAATTTTCCATTTAAGTAATTTTTTTATTTTAATTTATTTCTGATTTATTTATTTAAAAAAAAAAGAAAAGATGTTTAACTTTTTATTTATTTGTTTTTGTTCTGTTTATATTTCATTTTCATTATTCTTTATATATTTATTGTTTTGTATTCCGGTTGTGTATGTAATTTATTGCTATGACTGTATCCCCTGTGAATGTTATATCTTCAATAAAAAAAATAAAAAAATAAATAAAAGGAGCTTGAACTGAAATCCTCAGCTCCACCGGGCTCCACGCGCATGTCCGGGAAACTCATGAATATTCATCTATGCCCCGCCCACTGAAACCGATAATCTCGTAACACCGGAAAGATAGAAGAAGAAGAAGAAGAAGAAGAAGAAGACGTGTGTAGATTTTATATGAAAGAAATGTGGAAAAAATGTTACATTTAATGAGAGCAGTAGCAGGACAAGATTGGGGTGCTGACAAACAGTCTTTAAAGGGCATTTATGTTGTTGTTATGCCATCAACCCTAGACTATGGATGCATTGTTTATGAGTCAGCATCATCAACGTTGTTAAAGAAATTAGATGTCATGCAAGCTAAGGCATTAAGACTCATTTTAGGAGCAGTTAAAACCACACCCATTGCAGCATTACAAGTAGAAACGTCAGAAATGCAGTCATGAGATGTATTAAGAATAGTGGGTTATATAATAGGATATATGAGGGTTTGTTCATTCTTTTCACACTCCATCACAGTAGGTGGCGATATGCACCTTTGAAGTTGGTTCGCAACTCGTCGCCATTCAATCAAAAACGAAGAAGAAGACGTGTGACGTGGGCGGAAGTAAAGATGGCGCTGGACGGTTCGTCCACGTCTGTTATGGCTCATGAGAACCCATACCACATTCATGTTTCTGATTATTATAGCAGGAGTCTGAGCAACAAACCCGATGTAGTGCCGTCTGGAGTCACCGAGAGGAAGGTGTCGCCTTCAGATAAGCCTGACATGGTGGCGCTGGACGTGATCAGCATCAAGGAGTCTGGTGAGCGAGTGTCTCTGGTTTGTGTGGGCAGGAGTGAAACAGCTAATGAGTCTGAGCTCTGTGTTTGTGTGAGATCAGCGCCTCAGATGCTAATAACCGTGTCTTCATGTTCAGATGCTCCGGTGCACAGAAAGAAGCGCGAGGCGGACACGGGTGTGCTGGTAAGACTCGTCTATAGTCTCTTATACAAGTTTGGGGCCAGTAAGATTATTTACTTATTTTTATTATGATTATTATATGTTATGCTTCTGAAAGAAGTCTTTTATGCTTGACAAAGCTGTTGTGTTTATTTGATTAAAGTACAGGAATATTGTCAAGTGTTTTTTTTTTTTTTTCAATTTAAAATGTGTTTTCTTTTGAATATTAGTTTATGCCTTGTAGGATGTTTTCTTACTCGGGTATATTATTGGCAAAGCATCATGGGAGAGAGCGCTCGTTGCTGAGCTCATTGGCCGTGAACTCTGACTCTCAGGATTGTGGGTAATGTATATTGCTGTGCACTGATCTGCTCTCTGTGCATTACTGCAGGGTACGATACACCCCTTCCGCAGAACTCACCGCTCCGTGCTGGGGAGGGTTGCGCAGGAGTTTAGTTTGGTGACCTCTGACAGACGGGTGAGTTCACTGGACCGAGCTGGTCATTACATGGAGACAATAAAGCAGAGACATAAGATTTAATATCTAAGACATAAACTCCATATTTTTGCATTCTTTCATACTGTTAACGGAAGTTTTGACAAGCATTTATTGATTATGATTTAAGGATTTTACTGAAATCCAGACCGACTGGTTTTATGAAGTAAAGTGTTAATAGAATAGCTGTTTTTCTGACAGCAGGGGTCATTGTTTGACTGGTTTTCTCACACGAGCGTCTGTCTCACAGCTGTCTGCACACACACACACACACACACACACACATTCACACTCACACACA